TGTGTGAAAAGGGCAATTTCCTTATCAAAGTGAAAGTTCAACATGCTTCGTTCTTGAGTGCCGTCAATGTTAATAATTTTATTTTCGAAACTTTTCTGATTCATCTAGTCAAGTAAACTAACTTTCCATAATGAGTAAGGTTCATTCATAATAAGTATTGAATGAATGGTAGAATTAGACAAATTTTGAATTTGAAATTGGTTTAAGATGGTTTATTTAAAAAGGCCAAAAGTATTGCCGTGTTCCGACTACTACGGCCAAATAGGCGAGGTAATCTGTTTCCACATTTCCATACCTCTATGTCCAATCTCATCTTCAAATCAAGTTCTGCGAAAAATTTTCTGTCTCGTTATGCAATGGAATCGCATGCCAAGGAACACAGTCGTGTAAAGAGGAGGCTTCTGATCAGGAAGTCGAAGATGCGTCGATTAAGGTAGTCGAGGACTCAAAGAAGCAGACAAACCTTGGAAAGAGCCAGGTGCTGATATAACTGACTACATCAATTATGGCTTTACTGAGGAAACCTTCGGAATGAATACGTAGAGAAGCATAGGATTCTTCATCAAGAGTATGCTAATTCCGCCATTAAACCAGTTGTGATTGGATCTGCAGTGGGTCATAATCTATCACGAGGCAACTCTTGTGGTCCCGGAGTTAAATGTGCTCTTGGCCGGCAAGTGAAAGACATTACAAGTAGTAATCGTGGCCGTTCGCCATCTATGAGTGAGGATGATACCGAGAAAAACAGAAATAGTCACCTTGGTTCGGTACAAGCATAAGCACAACCACTTAATTTCCCTCCTGCAACTGTGTTTGCTCCCCTGAATGTTGGCGTTGTTCTACCTCGATTCATGAATGCTCTCAGCTTTTCTCCACCTTTACTTGATTCTACTTTCCCACCAACACAACTTCCTGGTTTTCGCAGTCTAGGCAATGGTTTGATGCCTCTCCCTATTCCAGGCGTCATTTTTTGTGGACCAGGAGCAAGACATCCACCTCATACTTCTCCCAATATCAAGATGTAAGTTTGCTTTCATTCACTCTGACTATTTTTTCTGATTTGTGATGCAATTGTTTATCCTTACTTTCATGTGATTCTAGTCCAGAGGAGGGTTTCGGAGTCGCCGCTCTCGATATCGTGATGACGATTAAGAAAGTCGGTTTGATCGGTAAGTTGATTCTATACTATTTAACTCTCTACTCACTATTTACAACACTTTTGCACTCAAATTGATGGCTGGCATGAGATTGCATCAAGTAGGCTGGAAATAAGTGGCTCCAATTTGAAGTCCCTACTAGTTGGAGTTAATATCTACAGCTAAAACGGGCTATCATGTATTTGTTATCCCTCTTTCGTTTTCCTTGAGTGTCTTTCTTTTGTTTAGTTAAGAACAAGTCAATTTTTGTCACTTAGCATGCAATCAAATTTATTTGTCGATTATGCTCGATTTTGGCCATTCTGTGGAGGATTTTGGTCAAGTCGTATTCTATCAAAGTAGAAATGACTTCCACATGCCTGAAAGAGGTGATGATTTCTCGTCAGACTGAGTGAGCGACGTTTTCTGAATAATAGTTTGAGTAAGTCTAGGTAGAAGAGGTTGTTAAGATTCTCCACTCCTCCGAGATGAATTCTAGTATTTAGCTTCATCTTTTCTATTTCTACGGGCCTGTTGATGGAGGAAACGGCTTTGTCGGACTTCTCTAGAGAAATTGGTTTAGGAAATTTGAGAGAAATAACCAAATTGTCATTTAGTGTAAATGTGGTTTTCTTGTCCATGGAGTTAGAGTAGAAAACATACTTATTCATTTATAAACAGATATGAAGTAGATCC